CCCCTCGGACGGCCAACTCCCGAGCGAGGGACGCACGCGGGAATCTCACCACCACCGCCCCCGTGGCGTACCGGCGGTCCCGCTGGCAGGAACCCTCGTCGTGAGCAAAACCGATCCGGGAAGACCCTTCAAAAGCCACCGCCGCCGCGACGACGTGCCTCCCCCACACCGGGGGAGCAGCCTCACGAGCTGAGCGCCGTCCCCCCCCCCCAAGAGAACACCAACACAACGCCCGACTCGACCGTCCGCCGGTGGCCGGCCACCAGGCCAAACCGGCGAGGATCGCGGAAGGCTGATGCGGGTGAGGAGGGCACGCCGGAAGCACAACAAGAAGAGCAGCGGGAGGGTCACCGGGTCGGGTCACCGGGGCGAGAGGCGAGTGAGCGAGCGGCCACCCCCTCACACGGGCGGGTGGCGCAGCCGCAGACCAACGGGGAGGTGGGACCTTTCCGGGCACAGCCGGCACGCCAGGTAAACGAACGCGGGATCTCACCACCCCCAACTCCGGGGCGGTCCCGCGCAACGCCTGGGACACCGAGCCGGCCGACCAGCGGACCGGAAACCCCCACCGCGGCAGCGGCGGGCCCCCCCAAAAGAGGCCCGAGAGGGAAAAGGCAGCTCTCGCACACACCTCAAAGACCCCGTGAACGCCCGCGGAGCCGCCCGCGCCAGCAGGGCCCCACCGCCTCCATCCACACCACACCGCCGGGCACAGCACCCATCATCGACCGCCTCTTTTTCGGCCGCGTGAGCAAGGGCCCACACACACCGGGATCCTCGGCTCCGGGGGGCCAGAACCCCCCCGAGCGGCGCACCACCACGGGCACGGCGGCCCCGGAACACCGCGGGGCCCAGCGCCCGCACGGCGCCGTCGTCGCCAACGGGCGGCGGCCCACACAGACGCTCGGGAACAGCGTCGCCAGGGGCCGGAGGGGGAGGGGGACGGGACCCCCAAAAACCCCACGGCAACCCAAGCACGAGGCCGGGAAGCCACACACCACACGCCCTCGCATCGCGACCCGGCACGGGCTCCAGGCTCCGCCACTCGACACACCGCACGCGAGGCAGGGGCGGGGACGGATCGGGAACGTCCTCCACTCACCACACCAGACGACGGCCCGGGAGAGGTCCCGCGGGACCCTCCCCCAGCTCGGAGGGGGGAGGCGCGGGCACGCAGTTTACCGACGCGGGCAGCCACTAGCGCTCAAAAGCGGGGCAGGGAGCGGCAGGGCCGCGGGAGCCCATCGGGGGCGGGCCCCCGCCAACCCAGCAGCGCACGCCGCTTCCCGAACGAGGATCGCTAGAGAACCTCTCCTCACTCTGAGGGTGGCCCGCACCCAACCCCGACGGGAACCCCGCCGGGAACCAGCACACATCAGAGGCGTCCATCCTTCCCACCACGGGGGGCAGGGAGGGGTGGGGCACAGGGGGGGTCTGCGGCAGCAGCAACACCAACCCTGGTCGGTCGGCCTTGCCGTGCGGGGCCAGAGCAAAGTCGCGCACACGGGCGGGAAGCCCGCACGGGCCCCGCTCGCCTCCCACTGCAACATCTCAGGTCCCCCGGTGCGATGAAAGCCAGGTGACACGGCAGGGAAGACAAGCCAGGACCAGGGCGGCAGCTCATGCGGGGAAGCCACCGCCCAGCGCAACAAGGGAAGAGCGCTCCTCTGGGGAACCGCCTCGACCCCCCCCCAGCAGAGACGTCAATCTCAACGGTAACTTCTCACTCGCACAAAAGCCCCACGAACCCGAGGACGGCCGGGACACACCACGGGCAGCAGGCTGGCACAAGGCAGCGGACAACGCCAGGATCGGGAACGACACCACCACTCAGCCTCAGGCACCTGAGAGAACCAACCGGGAGCGTTCCGGGAGCACCGCAAGAGGGCAGAGCGCGAGGCGCGGTTTTTCACACCACACAGCACGGGCAAGCACGGAGCACCGACCCTCCCTCTCCGCGGAGAGAGCCGACCCCCGTGCCAATAACGAGTCACGGGAAGAGAGGAGCAAGATCAGGGCGCCCCCCTCCTCCAGCGTGTACAAGTCCCCGACCTCACGGCGAGGGCAGGGAGAGCGCAGCCGGGCCCGGTTGCCGCACCCCCGCCTCCCCGCACACCACCGGCGCCGGCACGGTGGGACGGGTGAGGGCAGGGGCCCACGGGCAGAACGAGAAGAGCGGTCCCATTCGCCATGAATGTCCGTCCCTCGCCTGGCGCAGCTTAGGCCCGGGCCCGAAGGAGATCGCAACGTCACCACATCAATCACACCGAGGGGGTGGGAGAAGGCAGCCACGCGGCAATCGGGAGGCGGTGGCCCAGGGAAGCTCGGCTCCTGAGAGGGCCAACAGCCTGGGGATAAAAGCGTAGCCAGGACAGACACCCTTCCGTGAGTAAGGAGCGAGGTAAAAAGAAAAAGAAAAAAAAAATGAAAAAAATACCACGGGGCTTAAGCGTCCCTGGCACTCGGGATAACCAGGACACCTCTGCCGGGCACAGGACCGAAGAAGCTAGAAAGGGAGGGGAAAAAAAAAAGAAAAAAAAAAAAAAAAGAAAAAAAGCCACGGACAGCGCTCGGGAGGTAGCGCAGCTCAGCGGCCGACCAGGCCCGCCATCGGGAAGCGGCAGGTCGGGGGAGTTGGAGCTAGGGGCGATAGGAGGAAGGAAAAAAAAAAAAGTCACGGAGGTCGGGCGAGCCCAACGGCAGAACGGGGATGCCGCACACGCAAGAGTCCGGACTCGGCGGCCGGCGGCCCCCCCCCTTTTTCCTCCTCAAGCCGGCCACGGCGAGGGAAGCACACCGTGCGGGCCCTACCTATGCACACCCCAGGCAACCAACCACTCTCCTCCTCAGCGTGCCGAGGCAAGGGCCAGAATCCGGCACCGGGAGCGGGGGAGAGATCAAGGACGACGGGACTCACTCAGCCGCCAACCACCACCACACCCACGAGCCACCACAGGGACACAGGGCCTGCTCAGGGCAGCGGGAGCCCAGGGTGTGAGGGGAAGGACAGGGGGACCCGGACCGGGAAGAGACGGGAAAGGCCCGGCACACAGCATCCGAGAGAGCCCCCAGAGACCCGCTGACAGCCACCGGGACACAGCATGCCAGCACCCTCCTGCAGGTACAAAATCCTCACGTCACCACGCCAAAACCAGGTCGTCAGGCAGGGGCGACAACTCGCTGGCGACAGGGACCTCTCGGAAACCACATCAGGGACACCTGTCCCCAACACGTCCCCAACAGAGCCAGACACGGAACTCTCAGGGACAGCTGGTCGACCACATAAGGCGAAGACAGACGAAGAGCCAGGGCGGGAGCGGGGTCAAGGGACGCTCCCGCCCCACTACCTCGCAGGCACACACCCCGGGTGTGCACGGGCTCACCGCACGGGCGGTACGGGGAGCCTTCCCCCGGCAGACGCGAGGCACCCACTCCGAGAGGCACCCAACCACCACACCCACACCGCGCGGGGTCGGTGGTGAGCGCCCTGCCGCCAGCACGCACACACCCGGGACTCCCGGGCTCGGGTCCCCGACTCCCGAGGTGCTCCCTCCGCCTCGAGTTTTCCCCTACGCAGGGCCCACCGGGCAAGTCCCCGCAGATGGTAGGTAGGTCCCGGCCCCGAGGCTCGCCTCGGCCGTGCCCGCGGCTCCTCCCGCCGGAGAGGTCTGTCCTCCGGCCTCCGGGGCCGTGGAGGAGGCCGTGGAGGGAGGCCACACGGGGCCGGCGACCCAGGCCCTCGCTCCCGGCACGCGCCAAGCGCTCACTCGGAGGTGACTCCGACGACCATCCTATGTCGGGGATGGGGGGGGCGTAGGTCCCGGCCCCGAGGCTCGCCTCGGCCGTGCCCACGGCTCCTCCCGCCGGAGAGGTCTGTCCTCCGGCCTCCGGGGCCGTGGAGGAGGCCGTGGAGGGAGGCCACACGGGGCCGGCGACCCAGGCCCTCGCGCCCGGCACGCGCCAAGCGCTCACTCGGAGGTGACTCCGGGGAGGGGGGGGGTCCGAGTCCGGGCCGGGACCGGCCCCACCACCTATCGGCTCACCCGGGGACCCTCTCCCCCGACTCCCGAGACGTCCCTCGTACTCTCCTTTTTTCGCCCTCAAAGACCAGAGTCCAGGGAGGGGAGGAGGACAAGGCGTCGGGCCCAGACAGAACTACTGGTCGACCCGACAAAGCTGCCACCCCCCGCACAGACCGGGCACCGAAGAGAGAGCGGCGACGCACGGCCCCACCCCGCGCTCGCCTGCGGGCGCAAAGTCCGACAGAACAGCCGCCCCGGCGCCACAGCGACACCACGGCGACAGTCGCGCCCGGCACCCGGCAGAGGCCGGGCCTCCGCCCGGCTCGCTGCCGCCAGACCTCCTCCTCCTCCACTCGCTCGCTCGGCTGAGAACGAGGGGACTGTCATATCAAAGCGGACGCCAGGGGGAGCACGACAACCGCCTTCCAACGACCGACTCCACCGAGCCGCCGTACCCCGGATCGGCGCGCGCCGGCCGGCTCTGAGCTCCGGAGACACAGAACACGGAAACAAATCGCCTCACTCACCACCGCCACGCACCGAGTGGCACAACCTAGGTCAGGACCTGCAGCCGGGTCCTCTCTGCGACCTCACGAACGACACCAGAGCCACCAGAGACCTAGACCGAGATCGAGCCGCCGCCGCCGCCGCCGCCGCCGCCGCCGCCGCCGCCGCCGCCGCCAGCGACCAAAGTGAAACCAGGAACCAGGACGACATTCGCCCGAACGGAGCGGCCCGAACCCGAGAACCGGGAAGCCGGGATCGGTCCCAAGCAGGAAGGGGCGGCAAAGACGGCAGGCCCGCACCACGAGAGAAAACGAACCGGCCACCCGCACGACCTCCGCCGCCCGTGGCAAGACCCCCACCCCCGCCCAACAATGGCCAGAAAAGGGCAAGTGAGCGCTCGTCCCACCGTCTGCCTGCCCGTCTTTTTTTTTTTTTGGGGGGTGGGGTGGGGTGGGGGGGGTTGTTTGTACGTTTTGTTTTCTTTTTCCCCCAGATGGAAACCAGAAAGAGAAAAAAAAAAAAAAAAAAAAAAAAAAAAACTCCCAAAGATGGGTCGGCTCCAGCAAGAGACGAGCCGTCGGGAGGCACCCCGCTCACTTGTGAAAGTCCGCTCCTCGCCCGCCCCACAACACACTCCCTCCCCCCGCCCCCACCCGCCACCCCTCACAGGCAGGGAAAGGGCAGGGGGAAGGCCAGAGAGAGGTTTCTTCTAACACACAGAGAGTAGCTACGTCACGCACACAGGTCTGGAAAACCACGGTGACCGTGCAATGGGAAGCGTGAGTCCACTCACCCATCACCGAATGACAGGAAAGCCAAACGAGAGCCGCTGCTGGCTGGGTGGGGAAGGAAGGGGAGGTGGCACCCGTGTGACGCTTATCCCCGGGCACCGCACCGGACGGAACGACCTTCTCACCGGTTCGTACTCTAGCCTGTCCAGACAGCTAGCCTTTTCTAATAGGCTCTGCCACTCTCTCTCTGGAGCAGGATTCGGGGCATGAGGCGATGAATCTAAACCCTACACACAGGTGTCGGAGGGTAGAGGCATCATCACTCACATGCCTGTGGTGGAGGACCTGGACCCGAGCGTGGCGGTGCACAGTGTGTGTGTGTGTGTGTGTGTGTGTGTGTGTGTGTGTGTGTGTGTGTGTGTGTGTGTGTGTGCGGGGCTGGGGGGAGGGCAGGTAGGGAACCCTAGGAGGAAACACAGGGAGAGACGAGGGGCCCCGGCCCAAACAGAGTGGAGGCGTCAGTCAGAGGGGCGATCCTATCGCCCGGGGGTGAAGCATGGTTAGAACCCACAGGCCCGGCGGGCGTACTTCTCTTTGGAGTTCGCACTGGGAACATACGCAGGCACAAGTGCCCCAGCACACACATCGCATCACAGACGGGTAGAGAGGCAGAGCCAGGGGTTCAGGCATGGCAAACACTCTATTCCGTCAACACACACACACACACACACACACACACACACACACACACACACACACACACACGTTACGGTGTGTGTACAATATCCACAAGGTAAAAGTTTATTCATCCATTCCCCAAAGAATAAGAATAAGATTATGTCAGACAGAGGGAAGTAGATCGACGGACTAGGAGCGCGAGGGGCGGGGGGGGGGGGGGGGGGGGGGTTGCCGGCGGCGGAGAAGAACCTAGAACAGGTGATGCCAGGGGAAGACAGACCGGCGGAAAGACAGACAGACAGACCGACCGACCGACCGACCAACGGCACGGCACGTGTTTTCCCTCCTATGTGGATGCTAGACCTAAACTATAACTGGACATGGTAAGCTACACAGCACTCCGGGCAAACAGAGTGTGTGTGTGTGTCCCCGTGTGGGTGACACACATAACGTCCTTTTGTCAGAAGGTGTAACTTCTCTGAGCATTTAAGATATTGCAGAGAAGACATAAGACGTGATATCCCTAAGTGGCACGACTGTGAACGTATTATCACAACCGGACGTGTTAGGATTAAAGCTGGAATTAGGAGGACAGAAACGTACCTGTCATTATTACAAGTATATTTGGTTTAGGATCTTTCAAAACACATTGATGTATCCTTCTGGACACCATGGTCTAGGACCACACCAGTAAATAGCCACTTCAAAGCCAGATCATCGGTTGGATACGTTTCAATTGGTTTATATTGGTTTATGTTGCAAGTGATTCTAGAGAAGACAGAGAAAAGAGAATAGTGGGGGATTGTCCCTTGCTGTTGAGTGTGGGGTGGGGTGGAGAAAAAAAAGGATTAATAAGGCCACAGATTGGATTCGTAGAGTGAAAACCATGGTGAAAATGGAATGGGAAGCAAGTTTACTCACCAATCATGTAATCATTGTCCTAGTTCTCCAGACAGGTTTTAATAATCTTTTCAGTACTGGTGCTCCAGCCACTCTAGAAAGCATACATGTAAGCTTCCACTGGCACTAGACTTTACGTACTAATTGTAGTCTTGCGCGTCTTCTCACAACCCAGCTTCTCAATGCCATAATAACAGATAACTGGGGAGCCACTTAAAAAAAAATAGCCTCCCATGGGCTAGGAAGGTGGCTCACTGGTAGAGCTCTTGCCTTGCATGCCTGAGGCCCTGGGTTCGATTCCTCAGCACCACATAAGCAAAAAGAAAAAAGCTGGAAGTGGCGCTGTGGCTCAAGTG